GGGCTGCCTCGCAGCGTGGAGTGCTGCCTCCGAGTAGGGAGTGAAGTACGGCGCGGTGGGGTTTGGGTCGGTGGCCGTGCTGCAGCCCTGTGGGGCTGAGAACGGATTTCAGCTCAAGGTATTACCGGCCCCGGCCCTTCCTCAAAATAAATTTGTTTAAAAATTAAATAGCACATCCTTGAACTGCAACCTTCATGAAACATGCTTTTGTTTTTCTGTAATTTGTCATAGTTCACGTTCACTGTAAGTTCCATCATTGTTTAAAGGTACTCGGCAACGTACAAGCTGTGAGCATGGTTTTCGTAGTTACTACTGCTCTAATCTGTTCTGGTTTGTTGCTGTGTGGCGGTCTGTTGCGCTGTCAGGCGTGGAGGGGGTTCTGCCGTTCTCTGGACATAACACTTGACTGTTAAAACTGGCTTGCCAAATGCCGACGATGTGATTCAGCATGTACGATATTAAAGTGGGGCTCGGGGTTCTGTTAAGTTTTTGTAGACATACATTTCTCTGTATTCTAGGAGGGGTGTTATTCTTTGTGTTGTATTGGGGTTTTATTCATTTATATAATTTCTTTCAACTGTCGTAGAAAATGCTCGGTTAACTTTGAACATTAACCGTTTCCTGTGTGAGAAGTGACTGTGAATAGTCCTTAACCGTCTCTTGGTGCTATCGGGATACGGTCAAGGGTGCAGCTGGACGTACATTGAAAAGCTCTGTTGTGTTTCTGTAATTTCTGATTTCTGTTTTTATATTGTAGCAACACAGAAAAGTATTGGATAAAGGAAAACCTGACGATGTGATGCCTTCTGTTAAAGGTGTTCAGGTACGTGCGTGCTTGAGAAATTGTCATAATCGGGAGAGAGACGGGTTTTGTGGTTTGAGACCTTTCTTTGCTGGTTCAATTGTTCCTTGCTATCTTAGTAGAAAACCAGCAAGACAGATTGTCCTTGCACTGAAAAAGTGAAGAGGATATAGCTTTTCCTGTTCCAGTCCTTCACAATGACTTACTGTGTTACCTCTTTGCAGGAGCGCCTGCCAACAGTGCCATTATCTGGCATGTACAACAAGTCAGGGGGCAAAGTAAGATTGACCTTTAAACTTGAGCAAGACCAGCTATGGATTGGTACAAAAGGTGAGCAACTCTAAAACACTGAGATGAATAATTGGTAATTGGGCTAGGAGTGAATTGTGTGACCTGGAAATAGCTTCTGGTGTGACTAAACTACACTGAGATGAATAATTGGTAATTGGGCTAAGAGTGAATTGTGTGACCTAGAAATAGCTTCTGGTGTGACTAAATTGCGTCTAGGGAATAATGTTGGTATTGTAGTACTTCAGAACTAAATTTTGCTTCCGCTTCTCAAATGCCATTCTCCCAGATCATTGAATATTACTTGATATTTTACTTCTGTTCTTGAAAAACGTGAGGTGAGTTGTGCCAGTAGACTAATGTTCTGATCTGCTATACATAGCTCCAAATGTAAATTACGATATTTGGCATTTCTAGCATCTCTCAAAAGCACCTCAGAGAGATTGGTTTGATGCCAGCATCGCACAGAGGCTCAGTGACTTGGCTAAGACACAAAGAGGAATCTTTGACCGGGATTAAAACTGGGACTGCTGGCACCTCTGCCGTTATCTGTCCTCCCAACCAAAACTGGTCGGGTGTCTTGTTTCAGTGCTGTACAACTGCAGAAGCTGCGGCGTGTGTTGCTGTGCAGGGGCATCAGTTTATTGATTTGAGTGGTGCCAGGAGGAGCTGCAAGGGCTGTGGTGATGCCAGCGTTGTGGAGGGTGTCTCGGATAACCCCTGCCTCCACAGGCAGCTGAGCTCCCTCACTGGGACCGGGGTGGAGCAGTACTGTAGTGATGAGCAAGAGGAGTAGCAGTGCTTGCTTGCTGTCCCAGTAAAATAGCCCAACTGGATGGTGGTATTAGCTTTGGATGGCACCTCTGGCTGCTACGTTATTTCCAAAGTAAGCAGAAATCTGGGAAGTTTTTGACCTTTGCTTTGTAGGACAGACTTGACTGTGAAGTTTCTTCTGGCTTTGAAACCTCTCTTGCTGCCAGTTGCAGTGATTTTCCTCCTGGGCTAAGTGATGGAGCGAGACATTGCTCTTTTTCCCCTGTAGGTTGAGCAGCCAGATTTTTTTTGTTATTGATAATGTGTTCTAAGTATATTAGTAGTATTTAGGTAATTAATCCTCTTCCTTCACCTTCTAGACGAGTGTCAAGTTTAGTATTTGTGAAGTGCTCTAGATGAGTGTTTCTCAAGCTGTGAAATTCGATTCTTCTGCAGTCATCTGTCTTCGCGTAACCTGTTTCCCTACTTCCCATAATTAGCAGCAGCTTGCTTCCCCTGGGCCATGGTTGTAATTGCTGGCTGTTGTTGGGAAAAACTCCCTCCTGCTCCGAGAAATTCGTGGCGGATGCCAGCATGTAAGGGCTAGAATAAAACCAACTGAGCACTGACACAGTTTTTCACTTGCTAGTCCTGGAGAGAGGAAACGGATTCTTCCCCCACGCAGCCTCCCTGTGCTCCACAGATCACTTTGTACGGTTCTGTAGTCTGAGGTTTGGCGTAGGTGGATGTTTCTCAGTTGCTCTGGGCCGTTTTCGTAGAGGCATTGATAATACGGATTTGTCTATTGCTGAGATGCTGCAAAGAGTAATTGATTTGCAGGTTGCTAAATGAGTGAAAAGTAAGATTTTACTCAATGAACGAATGTCGCGGGTCTGACTGGGGTAGTTCAGAGTCAGCTTAGTTACGGCGCTGAGACAGAAAATATTTGTCTCTACATCACAGACTAAATTTATCTCCCTCTGTGCTCCTTTTAGGTAGGTGCTTTTTTTTCTGGATCACACAGTTTAGGTATATCTAAGGAACTCAGAGTTCTGTTTCTCCTTTGTAGAGTGTTTATGGTCTTTGCTGTCTTGTATTCAAGAGTATAATTTTAGGCTGACACTGAAAGCTGGAGCTGAAAGGAAGGATCTTGGAGTTGAGTCTCCAGAGAGGAATGAGGACAGAACGGAGACAGCAAAAGTCTGCTGTGAACGGTGTGCTTTGCCATTCTTGTTGGTTACCCCTGGCTGGCTGACAATAATCTGCCCTGTAATTGGAGTCATCTTTTTTTTCTTTTTATCCTCATTTCTCTTCTTGTTTCTTTCC